GCCTATCAGGTCAGGCCAGGTCCAGAGGAAGAGGCCAAAAAACACATCTTCATGGGTCAGAGGTGAAAAAGGTGTCCAAAGTTATTACTAGTATATCCTAAGTGTACTGATAATCTGAGGCATAAATATTAGCAACAAGACCCTGCCCAGGTAGCTCAGCTGGCTAAAGCATCATCCCTATACATCAAGGTTGCAGGTTCAATTCCCAGTTAGGGAATATACAAGAATTATCCAATGAATGCATAAATAAATGGACCAATAAATAGATTTTTTTCTTTCTCTCACTCTAAAAACAAATTAAAAAAAAGACTAGCATCAATAGAGGAGATGTTAACTCTTAAATTTTTATGAAAACTGTTTCCAACTTAGGGCAACTTTCAATAATATCCAAGAGCATTCATCCCTGGGAAAGATGTATTTCTGAGGCTTGGTATTTGAAGAATTTCCTGTCATACTTCCTAAGTGTTCTCTATAAAGTAGTTTTTAAGTTTCATCAGTGTAACACATGCCACAGAGCAAAATGATTCTCAGTGAGTATCTGGACCTGGCACACTGTAAAAACTAAAGAAATCTTAACCATTGACTAATAAAATTGGAGAGCAGACCTGCATTGTAGTGACCCCACTAATACTGCTCCCTTAATAGTCCTGATTAAGCATTATTACACCTTTGACTACAACAATCATCACTACCATGCCTAAGTCATCCTTTTACCAGAGTACCTGACACACAGGTAGCTAAAACGCATGCTGAGTAAATGATTCTTGGAAATTTCTGAAGTACAAGTAGCAACTTCTCTACTGCAAAGTGACTGTGGGTTAGTTTCAAGTCAAAAAGGGAAAAATAAGTCCTAAGCATATCAAATGATTTTGTTGTTCTGTACATAAGAAAACACAGACCATCAGAGAGTATGACATTGACATGATTGGAGGTAAATACAGGCTCTTCAGTTTTCAGAATAGTTCTCTATCTCAACTAAAATGCATTATGTTAAAGTATTTTAACAAGTCACCAGTGTTCTAGTGACTTTAGACCACTTAAATACCTCAGTCAGAAAGATTCAATAAAATCATGTGTTTTAGACTAATTACTGGGATAGTAGCAAGGGTGTTAAGTCACACAAACCTCCACTTACCTGGCTATGTAATTATTTTCTTTAGGCCATTACTGAAACTCATTTTTCTATTTAATAAAGTAAGGATAACTTTACCTCAGAGAGGTTGCTGGAATGCTTAAGTAGGGGGAAAAGTGTGAAGTGTAAAAAACAATAAGTAATCAATTTGGTAGGTTTAAAAAAATATTGTCATTTCTAGTGGATATATTTCAGGCCTCGTTTTGCTTGATGTTGTAGCAGCTTTCCAATGTACTCCTTCCTTCAAAGGTTTGGTGACAGTATACTTGAGTTTGTCTTCTACATCTTTTTCACTTAATACATCTCTTAATCTTAAAAAAAAAAAAGAGATTGGAATTCCTCAAGAATAGACCCCACTCTGATAGGGGAACTCAAGAATTAAAGATTTTAGCTTTAGTTATTATAGTTGACAGGCTTGTGTGATTATTGCATGTGGAAGGCTGTTGTTCTAGGAAGTGGAACATGTGACCTACAGGCCCCCAGGAGGTCCACAAGCAATCAAGATGCTTTCTGAGCCATTCTGTTCCAGGGAGGCCCACAATTAAAGAATTGTTGATCAACAGAAAAAGAAGTACTAGGAAAATCACCACTGGACTACAGGTCTTACCTATTAACCTTTTTCCAAATCCCTTACCTACCCTTTCTTCTTCTCCTTATAAGGTCGGCTTGAAATGAGATGTTAAGATGATTTTTGAGGGTGGATAACCTGCTGTCTTTTCAGATCACTAGCTATCTGATTAAAGTGCCCATAAAGATTCAATCCTTGTCTCTACTTATAGGTTCTGGTAGTTAGAGGCAACACGAATGTCAATTTTTCTGGTTTCAACTCTCCTGCAGCCCAGTACTAAATCAATGGCTTCAATTATCTATACTAGAATGGCTCAAGTTTTTAAGATGAGCCTAGGCATCAGCAGAGCTTCAAACCAATGTATCTAACAACCTACAATATCTGCCCTTGCCTATCTCATAAGTACTTGAAAATCAAAACTACAAAATTGATTATCTTCTCATTGCTGTCCCAAAATAAAAACTCATGTCTCTCCAGTGATCCCTATCACAGTGAAAGGCATCAATATAAGCCAGAAACCAAGCCCTGGCTGGCATAGCTCAGTGGATTGAGCTCGGGCTGCAAACCAAAGCATCGCAGGTTCGATTTCCAGTCAGGGCACATGCCTGGGTTGCAGGCCATGGCCCCCAGCAACCACATATTGATGTTTCTCTCTCTCTCTTTCTCCCTCCCTTCCCTCTTTGAAAATAAATAAATAAAATCTTTAAAAAAATCTTAAAAAAATATAAGCCAGAAACCAGGGAGTTACCCTTGAATTATTCTCCTCTGAGTTACCTTTGAATTATTCTCCTCTTAACCATCCTTTATCTTTCCTTCATTCCCTCACATCCAACCTAATTCCTTAAACTCAACAGTTTCTCCCCTATATTTCCTCCTTTCTCCTTTTCCACTGCTACCACCAGAATCTGTTGCCTGGAAAATGGTTAAGTGGGTCTCCTCCTCTCAATTATCCCCCAGGTTGCTGCTGTAGCTCGGTTGGTTGGAACATTGTCCTTATATGCCAAAGGTGCAGGTTCGATCCTCGATCCTCGATCCCCGATCCTCGATCCCCGATCCTCGATCCCCGGGCAGGGTACGGAATCAACCAATGAATGCATCAATGGGGTAGAATGGCAGGTCATTGTCTCTCTCCCCCCACCTCTTCCTCTCCCTCTCTAAAATTGATAGGGAAACTTGAGAGTTAAAGATTTTAGCCTTGGCTGACAGGCTTAAGTGATTAATACACACGGAAAGCTGCTGCTCCAGGAACTGGAATGCATGGCCATGACACTAGGAGGTTGAGAATTCTACCTTTGTGCCCCAGGAAGGCAAGTGATAGAGATGGTATCTTAGCCACTGTGTTCCAGGGAGGGAATAGTTTCAGTGATGCAGCTAAAGAATTGCTGATCAACAGATACAGAAGTACTAGGAAAATCACCACTGGACTGCAACTCCTACCCAATTAACCTTTTTTCCAATCCCTTACCTACCCTTTCTTCTCCTTTTAAAAAGGTCAGCTGGAAATGAGCTGTTAAGATGGTTTTCCAAGGTACATAACCCACCGTTTTCTCAGATCACTGGCCATCTGAATGAAGAGCCCTTTAAGACTCAATCCTTTTCTGTACTTATTGGTTCTGGTAGTGACAGGCAGTATGAGCACTGACTTTACTGGTTTCAAAATCAATAAAATTTATAAAAAGAAAGAAAATCTGATCCTGTCTTCCATAAACTCCCATGTTTTTATCCTGCCTACCTCACCAACTCTATCTCCTGTCTTTGCCATTTTGCTTCAGTTTCATGAACTTGCTCCCTGAAGGCTTTAACACAGAGTTCTGCTTGCAAGAATGCTTCCTCCCACTCAAATATACCCAGTTTATTTCCAGTCACCCTTTAGACCTCTTTTCATATTCTCCTTCCTGAAAAAAAAAAATCTCTGATCTGTGGAGAAAGGTTAGGTTTTTGCTATCATAGCATCCTGTACTTCTCTCCCATAGTACTTACAACTTTATTTAACCAAATAATTGTATAATAGTTATCTTGATACTGATCTCCTTTGCCAGTAAGTATACTCAAAACATGTAGAGGAGGGCTGTGTTTTACACCCCAGTGCCAACTAGTACTTAATACAAAGGGGCACAAAAAGCATTCCTTGAATAAATATGTGATATATGAATACAAAAATAATACTTTTCACATTAAACTTAACATAATTTTTCATTTCTTTTCAGATTAATTTTCAGATTACTCCACAAAAACACATGATGACTAGTAAGAATTTCTTTAAACTAAAACTCTACTATATTAAAAGTCTCTTACATAAAATTTACTTCCACGAGTTAATCTAGCAATAAGCCTGTGAGCTGATTATGGTAAATATACCAGTTTTAGACATGAACTCTCACATGTAATATAAAGAAGGCCATCCCTAAAATCGAATTCTTTAGGCAGTTTTTTCCCCCATCCACTAGGTAGCTTACTGGTACAGCAATTTTTACCCAAAACGGATATTTTCCAAAAATAAAAGACAGCTCAAAAACGAATGTAATAGTAGTTAAACCTTCTACCTCACAAGTTCTATTTATGTGCATTTGTGCTTTAATAAATTTTAAGGTTTTAAAAAAGATATTAACCAAAACAAGTTACTCATCTTCAAAATTTCACCTTGTGATGTCACAACCATTAACGAGGTTTCATTTTATATTGCACTCCCCCCAATTCTTGTGTCCCCTCAATTTATAAATATACAAAAACATATCAGCTCTCACTTTTCATAACAGCCTGCAAAGTAGATTTATTCCTTCACTTAATGGCTAAAGGCCACCACTCCGTAAAGTCTGAGGTCATTTTTCTCCCTTTTTCTTAAACATCACCTTGCCAAAGGGTCAAACACTATGGCCGTAGTTCCATGCATCCATTACAAGTAGTCTGCACCACCTACGTTTCTGGAAAATGATCCTGCTAGAGAGGATGAGCAAAGTTTTTACTTACTCCACAAACGCCCTGGAGCACAGGCAAAGGATCTTATTATCCTCCTCCAGGTCTTCAATGAAGAGAAACATTTCGGCCACGCGGCTCCACTTCTCGCAGCACATTTTCCCACCGCAGAGGAGGCAGCCCGGAGCTAAACGGACCGGACTACTGGAGACCGAAAGGAGGCCTTGCCGGCGTGCACTTCGAATGATGAATTAAGTACAAGTCCGGGGCCACCTCAGGATGGGGCCAGCTGTGGAGACTCGAAGAAAGCAAGGAAGCCGCCACCGGAAGTGGTTCCGGAAGGCCACAGGAAGGGACCAGGTGGCGGGCGGTGTCACACTCAACATCGCCCCGGCTGCAGACACTTTCTAGCTTTTTCCTCTCAGGGTTGCGAGTGGGAAATCGGCCGCTCAATTTCTCTGCTTCCCTTGGCTGCTAAGCCACAGAAGAACTGCTTCTACTGCTGGAGGGTGAGGGCGAGCCTCCATTCCCCTCCTTCGCCGAGGTACGTCGGTCCCAGTCGTGGTGTCCCGGTGCTTCTCCCTGCCCCGGTGCCCGGGGCGCGTCAGTCCCGCCAGGCGGCGAGCTGCCAAGGCCTCGCGTCTGGTCCCCCGGGCCGCCTCGAGTTCCCGGGTGGGGCGCGCGGGCGGGTTGGGCTTTCCGCCAGACTTGGCCTTGGGCTCTGGATGGAATGGCAGGGAGGGGAGGTTCTGCTTGGGTGACAACGAAGCCATTCACCTCGGCCCGCATCTCAAAACCCCCAATTCGGCGTGTTTCATTTCTTAGTGGTGGGGCGGGGTGTCTCCAACGTCATTTGAGGCATCTGCGCTTGCCCAGTGACTTCTCTGATTCTGGGATCTGAATCGACCCTAGTGTGTGTAAAAGCTAAATACAACTATGTGGTGGTCTGGAGAATGTAGTTGAGAGCCGCATGGGTAATGGTAATAGTGCTCGCTTTCAGACAAGTCAGACTTGGAATCCTGGTTTACGCTCCTTTTACTAAATGTGTGACACGGGCAAGCAACTTAACCTTTTGAGCCTCATTGTGATTATCTGTAAAATGAGGGATGAGTAATAGTACCTGCTTCCAAATAGAGACAGGCTCATAGAGAACAGGATGACAGCCAAGGAGGCGGGGAGGGTAGGAGATTGAAGGATTGTGCAAAAAGAAAAAAGAACTCATGGACATGGCAACAGTGTGGTGATTGCGGGGGAGCGGGGGAGGTTGTGTAAGGGGACTAAATGGTAATGGAAAAAATACAACAAAATAATAATTAAAAATAGTGCCTGCTTTCTAGGGCTCCTGAAAGGACTGCTGAAATTAAATCATCAATGAAATACTAAACCAGATCTGTCATATGTGCTATTAGTAGTTTGAGTGGTATATACTTTGTACGGGGTGCAGGGCACTGTTTCAGTCCCTTGGGTTTACAGCTTGTAAAACAAAGTCTCTGTTCTCATGGTGCTGATTAATTTAAAAAAATGCATGTGTGCATAATCAGGATGTCAAAAACTGGAACACTGTTGCCAGGTTTGTAAAAAGCAGTCAGTGTTTGGTGTGGGGTGCTTGGTTGAGACTGCCCAGGCAGCTCCCTCAAGGAAGCAGGTCAGGACTTGAAGGTTGTTGGCACCCTTAGGACTTGGTCTGTGTTATTAATGCTGAGATGACATTGGTGTTTCTTCAGAACAATGATTTTCAACCGGTGTGCCTCAAGAATTTTTAAAACATGCAGTTATTAAAAGCAACTTTTGTCAGGAGCACTGACCTCTTTTCCCTTAGATTATCAAATAAAAAAAATACAACAACCAACATAACAATAGCCATCTGGTGTGAATGAGTCAAAATTATACCTATTTTTTTTTTGTCAGATCAACAAAAACTATAGTATATTTTTTGGTGTGCCACAGAATTTTAGTAATTAGTTTATGTGTGTCATGAGATGAAAAAGGTTGAAAATTACTGCTTTAGAATATAGGAACTGAGGTAAAATCCAGACATTTAGAACATCACTAATATTTTGGTTGCATTTATTCGTGAGTGGAAAGAGAAGACTAATTTTCACATGAAATGTTTATTCCCATATCCTTACTAGTGCCTTACTTTCATGTCAGAGATATGCTTATTATTTTGGTGACTTAGGGGGGTAAGGCACAGATACAGATACATCAGCGTAGATGTGCAATATTTTTGAGGTAAGGATATATTTAAGAAAATAAGGGTAGAAATGTAATTATCAAACAGAGTGGAAGATCTTAGCTAGAAGTTGAAGATACTCTAGAATTAAAAATAAAAACAACAACCTTGAAAGGTAATTCAAGTTTGAAGATTGAAATCTAAAAGGTATTGTTTTAAAGATAAAATGATTGGGTTTGCTGGGAGTCTTAACTGAAATATTAGGTAAACTTCAGCTTTATTGATTATTTAAAATACAATCCTTAAGTACTAAAACTGAGTACTGAACTGTTAAACCATTGTTAAATATGCAAAAAGGAAAAGGGAAAGTTAAATTATATTTCAGTGAGTGTTCCTTATCGTTGGCATTTTTAGCATATCTTCAATGTAGCTCATATACTAAAAGTAAGAAATGGACCTGCTACCATTCATGGTGGTAAAAGCCCTGGTAGTGTTTAAAAATAAACATATTTCCTTAAGTTTTTGTAGAAAACAAATGAAAACCTCTCTGTTTTGATTTATTAGTTTTTGAAATAAAGTCAATTATAGTCAATGTTCCTCATCAGTATCAACGTTGGTCATTGGTGATATTTCAGCTTGTTAACTTTTTCTTACAAGTTACATTAATTCCAGATGGGAAAATTAAGGTACTTTATATGTGGTGCATAGGACTGTATTTTATTGTAGATTTTTTTTTTTCCGGATAGGAAACAACCTGGAATTTCTGCAACTAAAACATTATATCTCCCCCAAAACATCTTTTAACAATTATAGTTTTTATTCGATTAAAATAAAGTGGTAAAGAGTCATGTACAGCAGAAGTAGACAGACATTGCGGTCTAAATATTTTCAGCATATCTGACAGCGGGGGAGAGATAGAGATAGAGATAGAGATAGAGTTAGAGATAGATTGACTAAAGAAAGTGTAATGAAAGCCAGAGTGGGAAGTAGAAGAACTGGGTTTTAATTCTAGCTTTTGGTCCTACACTGAATTAATTTAGTAACTTTGGGCAAGTCAACTTGGCCATTTTGTCATATTATCAAGAACAAAGTATTTTATCAACTCAGAAAGTTGTTATTTGAACTCCTCTGATAGCTCTGCAGGGGCAAGTTTTAGGACTCTGTGTTGGTCCACATTTTTGTTACAGATTTGGATAAACACAGTTTAGATCTTTCCATAGGTAACAGGCATTTTGTAGGTGGTGACAACTATGTGTGAGTCATACTATTCTCAGTGATTTATTTTTCTCATAAACTAGGTGATATGTTTTCTCATATGACCATCTATTTTGTTTATTGGTAGATCCCAGTGTTTAGAATAGTATCAAGCACAAAATACTTCCTTGATAAATATTTATTGAGTAAGTGAAGTAATAACCCAATTATGTAATTCTTTTCTGGGCCATCCCCTTTCTTGTGCACTGTATTCTGTCCCCTCTGGCTTAGTCAAGCATTGGATGCAACAATTATATTCTTTTCTGCATCATCCACTTTTCACTCTCTCATTGATGCATTATCATTGGTACTAAAAATTGCTGTATTTTCTTTTTAGCTTAAAACAACAAACTTGATCTACATTACCCTCTAAGATACCCACCTGTTTATCTGTATACCCTTCCTGCAACATTGTTCCTCTGAAGAGTCCATATTTGCTATGTTCCCAATTAATTTACTTCCATTTTTCCTTGATCTTAATCCACCTCATTTTTATCCCCATGGTATCAAAACATTTTTTATCAAGGCTTTCCAGTACCTCTTTGTTGTAAAAATCAATTATTTCTGGACTTTTCAGCATCATTTGAAACACCTGAATACTCCTTTCTTCTTGAAACACTTTCTTACTTTGACATCTAGGGTGCCACTCCTGGAAGGAGGAATCCTGGTTCCTCATTGTCTTCCCAGCTACTAAAATATTGAGTGCCCCATGGTTCAGTCCTGAAAATTTTCTTCTATTTTACATCCCTATAGGGATGCTTAGTTTAATGCTTTTCAATACTGTCTACATGTTGCCAATTCCTAGATACATTTCTCTAGTCCTGATCTTCCTGCTTCACTCTGCTTATATCCACTGCCTGTTTAATGTCTTCACTTGGATATTCAATAGAATCTTAACATGTTCAAAACTGAATTCCTGATCTTCATCCCAACCCCCAGAAGGAAACCTGTTCTTTCTGGAACTCATCTTTTCACAAGCAAGCTGCTGCTGTTGATAAGAATATTACTTAGTGCTTATATAGTGGAAGGGACTCTTCTAAGCTTTTTTTACATATAATCTCACAACAGTCTTGTTAGCTAGGTACTGATCTTATCCAGATAAAATAAAAATATATCCAGAAACTGATTTATTTTATGGCCTTCACTCTGCCACACTGTCTTAGCCACTTTTACCACTTGTCTCGATTTTTGTAAACTTGCCATTTGTTCTTTGTACGGTATATTCAGCAGTCAGTCATTTAAAATTCATCAGGCAATCTCACTCTTCTGATGCCTTCTTTATCTCCCTCAGATAAAAGCTAGCCTACGAGGCTACCTCTCTCTGCCGATTTCTGACTACCCTCCCTATCTTCCTTAGCCTATCTTGCTGCTTGTCAGACCACACCTTTTTGTACTTACTGTTTGTTTAGTCAGGAATTCTCTTTCAAATACCCATGGGGTTTGCTTCCTCACTTCCTGAGGTCTCTGCTTAAATGTACTTAGATAGGCCTTCCCAGACTACCCTCTATAACTCCCTCCCCTCATTGTACCTCCTTGCCTACTGTACATCTCTGTCGTCTTCTTACCCTGCTGTGTTATTTTTCTCTCTGGATGGGTGGGTTACTGTCCATGTTCTTCTCAATATCAGTTAATGCATCAATCACAGGAAATGACCTGAGTGGTGAAAGGTTATCTGAGATATGGTTGAAAGGATTAGGATTCTGACTAGAAAAGGATTTCACAGCTCATGATAGCTGTTCTGAAAAATGAGAGGTTGTCTAGTGGAAGAGATCCTACAGTACAGAACTAGGTCTAGTATGGAAAAGTTATTCCAGGAAAGTGTAAGGAAGATTTTTTAGTACTATGATGGATGGTTTTGAAGTTGGAATGGAACATCTTTTAAGTTTTCTATACTGAAAGGGTTTAAATCAAAATCAAGGATGACCATTCGTGGAGGAGGTTCATGCGTGCTGCCCTGGGGCACTCTTAAGGGACTGCTAGATCTCATGCAAGTTTCCCTGTAAACTCTCAATGGGAATCTGTCTGTGTACTGTCCCTCTCTCCTTTACTATGTGTATTAAGTATGTATAATAAATCAGAATGTGATTGAGGATAAGAGGTGTAATTCTATTACCAATTTGGGCTGGGGAGTTTTTAAAGTCACAAGATTTTACAATCCTATTAAAAATCGTACGTGAAACTAGATTGTTGGGGACAATTATGTTAAGCAGTAAGGGTCACATCATCAAAACAATTGGTTTTTAAGTCTAGGAAAATCTCCTTTTAACATATTTGAGAGGCTATCATAAATTTTGATATATTAACAATAATTAAAAGTTCTTTTTCTGTTTAGGTGTAATTTACCATAACGTTAAAAATGTACAGCTCAGTGGTTTCATATTCACAAGGTAGTAAGACCATCACTACTATCTGATTTGGAACATTGTCATTATCTCCCAAAAGACACCTCTGTTTCTATTAGCAGTCACTTCTCATTGCTCCCTTACCCAGTGCCTGGCAACTACTAATCTTTTTGTCTCTGTGGATTAACCTATTCTGGGTATTTCATATGAATAGAAATATATAAAATGTGGCCTTTAGTATTTGACTTTTCTTTTTTTTTACTTAGTGTGATATTACAAAGGTTCATGTATACTGTAGCACGAACCAGTACTTCATTCCTTTTTATGGCTGAATAATACTCTGTTATGTGGTGTAGCACATTTTGTTTATTCATTCATCAGTTGGTGGACACTTGCTTTGTTTCTACTTTTTAGCTGTTATGAATAATGTTCCTGTCAACATTTGTGTACAGATTTTTGTGTGAGTGTGTTTTCAGTCTTCTTGGATATAAACCAAGTAATAGAATTGCTGGGTCATATGGTAACTCTATGATAACTCAAATTTTTGAGGAGGTGCCAAACAGATTTCCACAGTAGCTGTACCATTTTACATTCCCACCAGCAATGCGTAAAGCTTCTAATTTCTTCACATCATCATCAACACTTGTTATTCTCCATTTTTTTTTATTATAGCCATCCTAGTAGGGAAAGCTTTAAGTTTAAAAAATATTAAGTTTTTCTATGTTGGATTCTAAATGATCAAACACTGGTAAATTATAGTGATTTGACTCTTTAGATGGTTTGATTAAAATGTGATGTAAATAAAGGCCAGTCTTAACATATGCTGTGTTTACTTCTATTACCATAATAGGCCCAGATTTTCTCACAAATAAATGCTTACAAGGAAATTAGACTAAGTTTTTCATCTTGGGAAGAATAAGTCAAAGTGCATGCCCTGCTAATAAGACAATTAGCAAGATAATCTTGGCATAAAGACAACATATAATTGCTTTTATATTTCTTTCTGTCTCCTCCATCTCTTTCTTTTATTTATTTCCTGTTCATCTGCAAAGGATTTGAGATCATTTTCATTATGATTATATTATATGGAATAATGATAAAATATCTCTAAGAATAGAAGGCAGTCTTATATAGGAGATCATGATGGTAAGGGCCAGTATAAATGTATCATCAAATATCATGTTTGATGATCAGCTTATTATCTGACAAAGTTACTAAAAAGAGACATAGTCACTTACACATCTGAACTTCATACTTTTTGTCCAAAGAAGCAAAGTTTTTCATAGCTCTGAATTAAAAAAAAAAAAAAGCCTCAGCTGGGACTTTAAATAGTAGAACAATGTATAGATGTGTCCTCACTAAACATTGGTAAAGTATAATTTTTAATTGTGATACACTAATATAGGCTATATTCATATTTGTCACACATTTGTGCATGCCTCTTGCTATTTTATGGAAATTCTAACTCTAGGTATTAATGATTATCTTTTTAAAAATATTTTTCTTTTATTTGTATACTGTGTTTTTTAGATTACATATGTAGATGCTTGGGACAAGATATTTATCTACCATAATTTCTGGTAAGTTAAGTGACTGTATTAGAGAGTTACATAAAATAATTGTATGTCTGTATTTTAAGTCACTTAATATTTAAGAGAAGTTTTAGTGACTATAAGATAAAAATGATACTGATAAATTTTTATTATTACATATGACAAAATAATAAAGAACTTTTCTGTAAACCTGCTTTTAAAAGAACTTTTCTGTAGACCTGCTTGTAAAAGATAATATCCAAAAATGTATGTCCTCATTTCCTAAAGATTTGGGATACCTTTATTGAATTAGATATCGATGTTATCTTTTGTTATCTCTTTTGAGATAACAGAGTTATCTCAACATAATGTGGTATAAAATACTAGCATTAAGTATGATCTGCTTAAGATAAAAGTCAAATTATTAAAATCAATCTGAAATTTTACTCTTCAAGCTTATTTTCCTCTCCCAATTATAAGTTGTGAGTTATTTTCAAAGCTAAACCCAATACACTTCATAAGTGGACAAATGAAACCTTATAATTTTTACATCTAAATCTGCAACAAAGTTAACCATTAACAATTTACTCATTTTTGGTATTAGTGATTCTAGATAATACTTATGTAAACTAAAACATTTAACTTCTTAGCTGTTAAAAGAATAACAATGGATTATTTTTCCCTTCTAGTGGCAAAATTAAAGACTTGTCATGACAATGAAGAAAGAGACTGAATTTGTCATTTTCACCTAAAGAAAAATGATAGACAAAAATCAAACCTGTGCTACAGGACAGGATTCTATGCCCTATATGAGTTGTCTGATTCACATATTTGAAGAATGGTTTGGAGTGGAGCAATTGGAGGACTATTTGAATTTTGCAAACTATCTATTATGGGTTTTTACACCACTAATACTTTTAATACTTCCTTACTTTACTATTTTTCTCCTCTACCTTACTATTATTTTTTTACACATTTATAAGAGGAAGAATGTATTAAAAAAAGCCTATTCTCATAATTTATGGGATGGTGCAAGGAAGACGGTAGCAACTCTGTGGGATGGACATGCAGCAGTTTGGCATGGTAAGCAAGATTACTTTGATCTCTCTGTGTTGCTAATTGTATTTGTGGCACAGAAACTGTATCATTCCATTTTATTGATTGAGAAGATAATGAAAAATAATGGAAGAGATATTAACTATTTCTTGTTATGTATTTGCATGCATTGTGAATATATGTCTTTCTTAAAATGATTGTTTCCAAACATACTAGTGTCCACTAAAACAAGAACTACACAGCCATTAGACTATTACTATTACTATAAGTTAAATATAACAATTTATATTTAAGACATCTAAAAGGGTAAGAGACTATTTAAAACAATATAGAAAACTGTTTTGAAAATACTTTAATTATTTATCATTTACTTACATTTTACTTAAGATAAGTTTGACTTTCCCAGTATAGGGATTTTTAAAAAATGAATATTATATGTAATTTGTAAACCAAAATTTATCTTTTTTTGATATTATTCACTTTATAGGTCATTATACCTTTCTCAATAAATGAGAGAGCAATAAGTTTCTCTTCAGGATGTTCATCTTTTTCTTTGTTATTTCAGAAAATGTGATTTTTGTGCATGTAATGATTGGTGGTTCTTCATTTGGCTTTCATGAAAATTGCTCTCTAGTAGCCTATTTTCAAGAACTTGGTGTTTACCAATATTTTTACCTTACTTGTTGGTTTCTTTTGTTTTAGACTATTAAAAAATACAGAAGATTGAGTAGGCTTGTAATAAAGATGTGCCTTCTGTATCATGTTGTTGAGCTTTGAAGTGGTTTCACGGAAAGAAATGAAAGGTAGCACAAATTTTGAAATAGACACTTGAGTAATATAAATGTCAAATCACTATGTTGTACACTTGAAACTAGTATAATATTGTATGTCAGCTATACTTCAAAAAAATAGACCCTTAAGGATATATAAGGCTGCTCTTACCAAAGATCACCAGTAACATGCTTATTAGGTTAATGTGTTGTCATTTTAATACTACATACATTCCTGTAAGTCTTTTTTGAGCACTTAACTATGCAATATACTGTAAAATGCTTAACAAGCATTAGTTCTTTTAAACCTCATAACAAAATAGATAGGTTCTGTTACCTCCATTTTACAGTTTTCCCATGAGGAAACAGGACCAGAGATGTTATTTGCCCAAGACACACTAGGAAGCTAGGAAGAAGAGCCAGAATCCAGCCTCAGATATCAGGCTCTAAGATGTATGCTTTTGTGATCTGTGCTGTGTGGTAAGTTTGTTCCAGGTTGGGAGTTCAGGGTCAAAAGTGGTATTCAGCAGTTTTGCAAACAGGAACTATATATCTTTGATGGACTGAATTCTTAATACTTACTCATTTATGCTAATGTTCTTGCCAGTCAGTACAACTCTTCTACTCTCTGATGGTGGTTTAACATGATGAGCCAAGGCAATACTTCAGTGTTCCACATGTGTGTGTCTGCAGAGACTGCATCTATGTGGACTGCTGTTGTTTGTTGTCTTGAAAACAGTTATGCAAAAATTCAGTGGCATCATTTACAATACTCATTGGGAATACTTATCTTCCACATCTCTCTCCATATTTCAAAATAACATACATTGTAAGGAATTATAATTTATTTGTATTTCAGGTGACATGATTTAATTTGGATAAATTCAAATCCTGAACTTTGTAGCAGAATATGTAATTTTGAGGTATCCTATTTGTTGAAGTATTTTTAAATATGCCCTTATGACTCAAAAGAGGATATATATATGTGTATATATATATTTTTACTCTGTTTTAACATATGATAACATATTTTATTAGATAACTGATACTTTAAAAATGATTTTCTTTACCTTGTTCATTTAGTGACATATATAAAAGGCATTTCTGTGCATGTTTGGATTTTGTATTGGTATCAGATTAGTTTTAATCATGCCTTTAAAGAATCTTCAGAGGAATTTTTTAACTAATATAAATATTCATTGTAAAAAATGTACCAAATAAGAAAAATAAAGAAGAGAATAATAATTGCCTAATATTTATCGTATATTTGAGTCTTTTGAAATTGTAGTGTGTTAATCATTTTTTATGTGTGTGGGTAGACTAGTATTTTCAATGTCACAAAGCTCTTTTAGTGACTTCTAATGACTATATGGGACTCTGTAATTCTATAATTTAGTTAGTTACCTATTGAATTATCACTTATTTATAAATTGTTTATATAAGAATCTATCGAATGTTTTGTCATGAAGTTAAATTGTATCCTCAACTATATATAATGTAAGTGTACTGTCATTTTTCAAAAAATTCTCTGATTCTTATGTGGTGTTCCAAATAATGCCTATACTATCAAGAAACATCAATTTAATGTTTCTTTAAATACCTACATTTATAGGTAGTTTGCTTGGTGATGATGGGTCAGTGACTTTCTTACACTCAAGTTGCTTATATAGTCTTTAAACTCTAAAATCATGACTTTTTTTTTTAAAATTCCTTAAAATGTGAATGATATTTTAAAGAGCTGGACTCTTAATAGTTAATGATTTCTCCTGACAATTAATTTGATGAGGAAGAACCCTCGAGATGTTTTTTGAGAAAATTAAAAACTATATTTTAGGATAACTGTGAAGGTAATAAGGAACATAACTGTCAGTTTAGGGAAGTAAGGAATATTTTATTTTGGGACTTTTAGTTGTTTGTTTTGTCTTGTGTGTGTATGTATTGAGGTGGTTTTTGTTTTATAAAAGCATTTACTACATTGTCTTATGCTTACCTAACACCGACATACCTGGTTTGATTCATTTTCAATACAAAATTTTGGAAAAATGCAACAGTTTGTTTAAGTAGTACTTCTCTATTTCTGTTGGATAAGAGTTCCTTTTTATCTCTTCTGCCTTTCATGTACAGAAGGACTACTCAATCAGACTGCCTGAGTTCAGAACCAAGCTCTCCTCAATTTCTGGCTGGGTTACCTTGGCAAGTTATCCAACATTTTTTTCTCTCTTCCCCCTTTACTCTTTTCTCTTTTTTTCCCTCCTTACCCTCCTCTTTCTGCCCCCTCCTCCCTTCTTTTTGCAACAATTATGGTTTTTTAAAACTTGATTTTGGAAAAAAACTTAGAATCACAGAAAATTTGCAAAAATACTGTTGAGAAGGTCTGTATATTTTTTCACCCAGCTTTCCCTAATGGTAACATCTTATATAACCACTTGTATAATTATCAAATTAACAATGATACAATACTATTAGCTAAACTGCAGATTTTACTCAAATATTACCAGTTTTCCCACTATTATCCTTTTATTGGGATCTGGATACTGCCTTTAGCTGTCCTGTCTTGTCCAATCTATGATGGTTAGTTAGTTTTTTCTTTTTTGTGTTCCATGATTGTCACAGTTTTAAAGAGTATTGCTGAGTTATTTTGTAGACTGTCTCTCAATTTAGATCTAATGTTTTTCATAATTAAATTGAAGTTACACATTTTTGACAAGAATACCACAAAATTGATGATGTGTTCTCAGTACATTATATCAGAAATTCATGATGTGGGTATGTTTTATTACTGGTGACATTTACTTTGGTCATGTGGTTAAGTAGGTGTCTGCCAGGTTTCTCCACCATAAAGTTGCTGTTTTTTACTTCATAATCAATAAATATCTAGGAGCTACTTTAAAACTATGTAAGTGTAAGTAACCCATCTCAAATGGGATACTTAATTTTTCTGAATCTTATTTTCCTCTTCTGTAAAATGAGTTGTTGTAAGGATTTAGTGAAATTTCATGTAAAGTATTTAGCATAATTTCTATTACATACTAATTGTTCATAATAATCATGTGCTGCGTAATGATGGGGATACATTCTGAGAAATGCAGCATTAGGCAATTTTGTCTTTGTGCAAACATCATAGAGTATACTTACACAAACCTACATTGTATAGCCCACTATAACCCTGGAATATATCTATATGGTAAAGCCTGCTTCTGGACTACACACTTGTACAGCATGTTACTGTACCAAACAGCACGAGGTTAACTTAAGCACAAGAGAAAATGATGCAATCAAGAGATGCAGTGAAGATGAGGTATATGAGGTTGCTGCCAGTGTAGTATGGCATATTGTTTTATAGAAAAGTTTTTTTTTAATAAGTAGGGTATACTCTAAAATAATGATAAAATTATAGTAAATACATAAGCTAGTAACATAGTTGTTTATTATTGGTATTAAGTATTATGTACTATATATCATTTTATGCGCTATACTTTTATAACCAGTAGCACAGTAGGTTTGTTTACATCACCCACCACAAATGTGAATAATGCATTATACTATGACATTATAATAGCTACAGCATCACTAGGCAATAGGAATTTTTCAGCTTCATTATGTATGGGAGTATGGGATCACCATGGTATACATGGTGATACATACATCAGTGATCTCTGGATAGGGAAATAGCTAAATTAACTGTGATAGGGACTTATTATGGAATGCTTTATAGCCATTAAGAATATGATCACTACTTGTGCCTAACAAGGGAAGATCTTCAAGGACGTTTGTTTTTGAACAGAAAAAGTAAGATTCATAACTGCAGTCATAGTAGAATATCATTTATGTTAAAACACACACATATATGCATGTATACAGCAGTACTAAGTGAAATGTAGGGTGTATTCAGGACCAGGAGATGAATATTCACGGGTGAGAAGTATGTTGAATGATGAACCTGGAAAGGTAAACTAAAGTTAGCTTTGAAGGATCTTGAGTGCTATACTCTATTTTGTAGGTAGTTTGCTTTCCTGAGGAGGACCCCAAAGGATGCACTGTTAATTTACCATAGTGTGTAGGATTTTTGATGACAAATTTAGAAGGGATCTAATGAATATTAATCCATTATCTGAATTAATGCTGCTGATGTCTGCAGCCAGTAGGCAGTTAACTCATTTACCATAATAAATACTGCTGTGGAAATGAGACTACTTGAACTCCAGTATAACCATCAAATCCTCTCTCTGTAGGCTAAGCTACATGGAAAGCCAAAAA